GTGATATTTTATTTATAAATATTTCCAGGTTTTTTCCAGTATAAAAAAATTCCCTGATAATTCCAGGTTTTCCAGGTGGGTGGCCACCCTGGAACTACAAGTGGTATTTAGGAATAATCCTCTTTAAAACAAATAAAAGAAAAATAGATTAAAATAATTTCTTGGACTTATATTAATATGATATATATTTTAATAATAATAAGAAATAATAAAGTTTATTATAATAGTACTATAATTATTGCAATTAAAAAAACTCATTTATAGAGTGAAATTTTAATTACGTATTTTTCGCCTAACATAATCAGGAGTGGCAGTATCCTATAAAATTAAAAAGCGTGCTATGTGTGAGAAATGCATGCACGTCTCCTCTCACATTTTTGCTTAATAACTAAAAAATTTGAACTAGGGAATGATAAGAAGGTTTTATTGCCATCACAAAGTAATTTTAAAACTAGAAATATAATTAGGAGCCAATAATAGTACAGAATTTCAGAAAGCCGGCATGTTTAAAACATAAGCAGCACATCAATTAAACCAAAATTATTTTACTTTAAGCACAAGGCGGCAGCTACAATGCTTCAAGTGTCTAAGATTTATGCTTCCCTGGAAATATGGATGTCTAAGATATGAATAATAAAAGGGAACTCATTGATATCATACTACATTAATTATCGATTTTTGGGTAGAACTAGATATTTTCATTGATATATGTAGATTGATTTAATAAATAGGAATGAATTTTGAAACACAATTTAGTCTATTGGATGAATGTTAATAAATAATATTAGTAAATATTTGTCACATTTGAAAGTAGGAAATAAAACTTTTGATTATTCTTATTAACTCATAAATTAAAGGACTCATTATTCAAGTAAGTTCAAATGGAAATTTTTCCTGAATAAAGAGGATTTTTTTTCAGGTAAAAAAAAACTTCCTAAGTTGCTGTAAATGCTCAGTTGGTTAAGAAAAAATAAGCATATTCTTAATGTATCTCTATCAACAGAATAATTGATAAAGAAAATGTGTAATAAAAATGAAATAAATTTTTTATTAACCTCAAATGTTATCTTGATTTATTTTTAAGAAAATAGTTTTATATATTATGTTTACTGTTGTGATAAATAAATCGTGAATAAAAAGTTATATAAGTTAGTATTTACATACAGGATCATTATTGGAACAAATGCAATCTTTCTGAGGCGGCTGTGTAACTTTTTCCATACCTTCATGAACTTCACTTTTGACGTTTAATTTTTTGGAATACTCCTGCAAATATATATATAAAGGTATATTAAAAAAACTTCTTAAGAATTGTATTACAACTGACATATAGGTTTTTTTTAACTAATATTATTTTTCTTAATTTAGAAAATTTTATGAATGTAGTAAGCATAAAAGTAAAATAGTGCAGTTGTTGGCTAGTTTCTAGAAATAGTTACAGTGTACTAGACATTATAATTTTCTTTTAAAGTTGACATTACTGTAAACATTAATATTTATTTTTAGATTCATAAAACAAAATCTTAATTTGAGACAAAAAATAGTAAATAAATATTCATCATTACATGCTATTTAACATTTCAGTATTACCATGAACGAAACTAGATAAAAAATTAAATCTGTATGCAAATCCACAGGATAACTTAGAATTAAAGACAATAAGGTTACACTGATACTGTTAAAGGGCAAATGGATAATGTGGAATGTATTACACATATTTTGTACACCCAAGCATGTTTCTACTTGAATATATTTTAAAATATTGGGCATTTCCTTTTGAATGTGCAGCAAAGTGACTATAAAACTTTATTTTTAATAATTGTTACATAAAATAACTATTACTTATATATTTATATATACAACAAAATAAATAAATTAAAAAAACACGAAGAAAATTAAGAAAAACAATAAGTTTCATTTATTGCACATAAGCTGCAAGTAAACAGAACTCATTAGATAAGTTCAAAATGAAGATAAAACAAAGGAAAATTACAGACATATGAAAAGGGGGGGGGAGAAAAAAAATGGGGAAAAAAAGGATAAATTTTTTTTTTTTAAAAATCCGGAAAATAAAAGATATAATCTTTTCATCAGCCCACATGATTATATCCGCAAAAAAGGATGCTTAAAACAAAACTCCTCTAGTTACGCTCAATTCGCACTTTTGTTTTCATATTATGCAATCTTGTTACGAAAATACTTTTTAAATCATTCTTGAAAAATTTCCCGTTCATGTAAGTACATTTGAATTCCCTACTCGCTTTATAGATTTTTTTTTATTCTGCTTTTTCTTTTTATTTTACTTTCTGTTTTTACATGTTATTTTTACTTATTGTGTTCTATTTTTTTTGCTGTAATTTTCGCATGAATATAACCTTTTTCAGATAAATTTTTTATATTTTCAGGCAATTTAGTTGAATATTTTAGTCATTTCTCAAATGAATATTTCACTAACTCAACTGCAATAATTAAGATATAATTTTGATTCATCTATGATAAATACAAAATGGGCCTTCCATAAATAATGTCAAATTTTTTCAAAAATTTTTATCCTTTATCATAAAATATTAAAAATTTCGTTTTCAAATTTTAACTATGTGTTTAAATAAAATATGTCAGCTTACAAATAATGACTGTGAATTCACTTTGATGAACAAAATATTAAAATAAATTGCATAAAATATTTGATGTAATAATTTTAATTGTGTTTATTTAAATCAAAATGTTGTATGCCATACTTGTTATGCTTTCTTTCCACCTAGTTACAAACTGTATTTTATATTTTAGAATAATATAAGCTTATAAGACTTTGGAATTGAAATTTCAGCTAATAAAACTTGTTAGTATTAGCTGAATATTAGTAGATTAGTATGTATCAATGAGATCCTGTAAGACAATAAAAACTGATATTTATTTGCCCACAAGTGTAGATTATATAAAGCCTATAGATATTTGTTAGTTATGATAATAGAAATATAAAAGAACTACTAGTAGAAAAATAAAAATTAAATATTCCAAACCCTTCCCATTTTAAAATGAAAGAAAGATTAATCAAACAATTCTTTCAAAAAATTAACTGATATATCAAAATCATTTAACTTAAATAAGTTAAAAATTAATACATACATTAAACAAAACTGTATAATAGCATAAGATGTCTTTTGGCATGAGATTATTGAGAACAAACTCTTGGGCATTTTCAGCGATTGCTTTGGCTTCAGAATCATGAGACAGTGCCCAGTTGATTTTTAAAACTAAGTCTGAAAGATTTCTTTGAAACGGTATGTAATGAAACATAGGTACTAAGTCATTATAAAAATGTTCATAAAATTCAGAATCCTGTTTCAGAGCTAAGCTACGTCCGGCTAAAAGATATGGAAATCGATAAGCAGCTACAGTCCCGTCTATGTTGATCTGGTATCGATACTAGATAAAAAAAAAAACACTTCTCAATTACAACTAAGAAGAATTTAAGAAATAATTTATTGGATTTAAATGAAAGCATAAGAAATTAAAATACATTTCATTCTTGAAAACATTTATATCTTTACCTTAAATAAATCAGCATTAAAATCAAACATTAACTTTTTTTAATGAAATATAATCTGTTCTTATTAAATGTAATGTAACATAAAATATTTACCATCTATTTGATGTTGCACTACATTCAATAATTAACATATATGCTAATACAATTTTTCAAGTTTGATTGTATTATTAAATACCAGAACAAAATGCAATTTAACATTTCCTTTTCTTATAATTTACATATTATCTAAAAATAATAATAAAAATATAATGCATTATTAAAATGGTACACACAACTTTAGTTAACTTTAATTAACAAGACCTTATTTACGATATAAATATATGGAGTGTAGATGGTATAAAAATTCAAAGAAGTGAATATGAAAAATGTGTTTTTTTAAGTAAGAAAGTTGTTAACCATGTGTTTTTTATGTTATAAACCAAAATTCTACATGCACCACACTAGCTTTTTGAGTGTAAACAATGAAATTTGCAGCTAAGAAATTTCTATTATGAAGGAAGAACTTTTCATATTATTTGTTTAATTATTTGCTGAGAAGATAAAATTTCAAACCAAAATTAATTTGTTTGTAACTAGTTCTAATGCTGCAGAAAACATAAATTTTTTTCAATAAATACTTCAACGTATATTTTGTATTTTTAAGTATTTGTATCTAAAAATTGTTTTAAAGCATTTTAAGATTAATTTGTTTCAGACTAATATTGCCATAGTTAGTAGATAAGTGAAATGATCTGTATAACACAAAATTCCACAAAGCCCTACATTTAAATCTTTGTGTTGTAAAAACCTTCTACTGTACATGAATTGCACTTGTAACCAACAGATCTTGCAATGAAGTTTATTAGCAATAATCAAAAGATTAATTAAAACTTGAGTTTTCAATGAACTTTTATCAAAATTGAGTAATAATGAAATAAACAGACTTAAAATTAACTTGATATCAACAAAAAGAAAATAACTCCACTTAAAAATAGGATAAGCATATAATATCAGATTGACTTTGAATAAGTTACAGATATCACTCGATAAATTGATAAGAATGAAGATTTTTTCTAATTTTTTAGATAAATATACCTTAAAGAAATCAAAAAATGGTATGTATTCAGTTTTGGGTCCATATTCTGCTTCTTCTTGCCGAAAGAAGAAAAAATTAGTAAGAGATGCATTTATAAGATCTGGATATTGTCTAGATAATTTAATAAGGTCAAGTCTTTCCTGCCTGCTATCACGTCCTCTCCAAAAAGCAACTTTGAGTTTTTCTTCCCAAGTGGGTCCAGAGTTTCCCATAACTGACAATATGTCAACCATAACTCTAAAAAAATGTAAAAGAATGATAATATTACTATATTGTAACTCATATATTAGAAAAATATATGTTTAAAAAATAGTCTTGACATTAACAGGTTGTAATTTGACTTATGCACAGTAAATTTTTAATATATTGATTTTTTATCATGATTTTTTCAGATCTATAAACATATTTATATTGTAATTCATTTAATACAAAAGTACATGTTTAAAGTATAGTTATGACATGAAACATTGTAATTTGAATTAAGCACAATAATTATTAAATATATTGAATTTTTATAAAAATTGTTTCATAGTTATAATTTATAAATTTTTATACAATAATTCATTTATTAGAAAAATATATGTTTAAAGAATAGTCTTGACATGAAAAGGATGTAATTTGACTTGCGCATTGTGATATTAACGTTTTATCATTATGATTTGTATATAATAAACTTTCAATTTATTTTTATACAAGCAATTTTGTCATGTTACTATTGTTACATGTTACAACACATAGAGTAATGAGCATGATTATATGGTTTCATACATATTCTAAGCATAAAAAATACATTTTCATCTTTATTAGAAACACCACACAAATAAGTAACTAAGATAACAGAAAGGAATTATGATAGCACAATTTTATGCGGGAAAAGTAAAGGTAATGGAACAGTTTAGAAATTAAGCAGGGAAGTAATCTGGAGAAATGATATAAGCTTTGCTGCTTCCTTATCAATGTAAATGTAATTAGATCTATATTTGATTCCAATAAAATATGTTAGTTTTACATATGTATCAAAATCTAAAAACAATACGGCTTAAAATTAATTGAAAGATTGATTTTATCTAGATGTTCGCACACATTTTTTATTAATTTTTAATTGAAAGTCAAACTGCTGTATGAAGGAAAAAAGTGGGTATAACATGATCAGGTTTTACAAGATCCCTAAAAAAAGAAAAAGGTAATTTTTTCCTTTATTTTAGATATGAATCAGATAAGGTTGAGGCTGTAACTTAACTCAAGTCTTTATTCCTTTTCAATTTTATCTCCAATTTATATCCTATTTTAAACTCATTGTAAATTCTTAATCCATATTCATGTGCTTATTACTTATAATACATTTCTCTTAGGCATTATGTAAGAAATACAGTAATACAAATATCAACATAATTACCATGTAGAATGAAAATAAGCCAATTGAGCTCTAGTTCAAAAAGGAAATATATATTAATGAAATAATAATATCACCAATAAATTACTTTTTATAATTAATGAAAGATTCATTGATTATAGAAAGAAGTGTGATAGGTTAATAGCTTAACAATAAGATACGAAGAGCTATTGATGATAAAAATTATTTTATGAAACTATGTGCTCATATAAATCTGTCATAATGTTTAGAATATTAGGCTAGCAGCAGAACAATAAGAAGATGGAAAAAAAAAATTACTTTTAAAAAGCTTTAAATTCAAAAACTATAGTTTGAAATGATTTAGATGTCTAAATTTTAAAAAGACATAAATGAACAGAACTACATTTCTAAAAGGTATTAATAGAAAAATTAAAGTTTATATCAATTCTCATCTTATGGTAATCAATATGATGAAATTTCATTTGCAAACAGAAAAAGACAAGAATTAAAGAAAACAGTTTTTTTTCATACCGTCCCATCATTTCAAGGGTAGCCTCTGTTATATCATATGTAGGCATAACAATATCCTTAGTGTATTTTGAACCACACCAAGAAAATATGGGTATTGGATTTTCTGCTCTTTGTTCTAGAGGCCAATCACCAAGATTAACAATAAGCTCAAAATTTGGAAGATATGTCTGAAATAAAAATGATACAATTTATTAAAAACATATTACAACCACAAAAAGACTATAATAAACAACTAAACTTGTTACTTTATTGGATTAATACATTGAGAAAGTTTTGATGTTAGTATTTGTTCATATTTCATTTATAATTTTTTTTAAATAATTGTTTTGGAAATTTTTGAAGTTATTAAAATTTTATGAACAACTGTCAATAAATATTTATGTGTAGAAGGAAAAAATTACTATATGCTTCTTTTTTAAAAAAGAAAATAATAAAAATACTTGCATAAAATAAGATTGAAAAATTATTTTTAAATAATTCTCATTTTATGTAAATGTGAGGTACAAGCAAGGAAATATTGATCATTAACAATAACATATCTTGACATGCTAATTTAAGGCTTTTAATTTAATTATCACAATCTTAGCATGCCTATTATTATTGACATTGCATAAAAACGAAGAAAAAAGGTCTATGCTGATTAAAATCTCATACTTGATATCTTTATGAACAGAAAATATATTTCTAACTTAATTATTAACCAACATTTTTCAAATCACTTTTGTTTTTCATTTATGTCTGACAAGTTTTGAAAAAGGGTCCCTATATTTGAGCGATTGAAACACGCCGACTGTTATTTCGAATTCGAAATTCTTAATGTTCTCGAAATTCTGATGTTATTTCGAAATTCTTAAGGGATTATAGTTTTTAATCAAGTAATATCTTAACACTCAAAATTATTTATTTAAAATAAAAATATAATAATAAATGAGGAAAAATAGGAAAGAAAACAGATACATTTTACTTTTGAACAAAATAAAATTTCCTTCTAAGATCATTTGCTTGCAATTTATGGCAACAAATAAATTTTTAATTAGCACTTTAATAAGTTTCAATAATTTCATTAAGAGATCTTTGCGTAATCATAGAGAAGAGTTTAGTTAAATATTATTAATCACAGTAGAATGAGAAAAAAAAGAAATACTGAAAATTTGATAGAAACAATAAAAATAACTGCTAAACTACTAAATTTTGAATATAAAAATTAAAGTACTAAAGATTTAACATATCACCACCATAGCAATTAAAAAAATAGAGCAAATAAATTGAAAACAAATTATTGACATACTTCTGTCAAAGATAAGAGAATGAAATAAATATACACCTTTCTAGACAATGACAAAAGTATTTCATCCATGAACATGCTGAAGCCAACATATTGACCCAAACATTTTCGATAGATCTAATTAATAGGGGGAAAAAAGAATTAATAACATAGACACAACCAATGGACAATGAAACAATAAGCATTGTCCTAAACTAAAAAATTAGCAATAAACAAATAACTCCTGACATTTTTAGAAATCGAGAAAAAGCTATAAAGTACTATTATAGTACAAGTAAGTTTTAAAGTATTTCTTTCTGCAGAATTCGTGTTGTTATAAGAAATAGTAACAAATTGATTACTCAAAGTATTATCTAACTCTAACAACTACTTTTGAGGAAGTAGATGAATATCATATTGAAAGAATACTCGGTCTTAAAATGCATTTTTTTAATACATAAAATAACATAAAAAATGTAAAGCGTAAATTATAAATCTAAAATATTGATTAGATAAACAAAATATATGCAGAGAAAATTTTCTACAGATTCCCACATTTAGTTTTTGAAATTTTCAATATTTTTATTGCTAATTACATCTCATTTATTAGGGTAAACTAAAAAAAATGTCACATTTCAGAAGAAATACAAAATAGATTTGAGGTATTACAAAAAGATTCCTTTTTTTTGTAAAAAAAGAAAAATCAAGTTTTTAATTTTGAAAAATATGTATGGATCACACAAATAAATCATTTTTTTAAATTAAATATTTAATTTTTTTTAATCTATAAGCAATAAATATTTTTTTTTATCTAATATACATAAAACCTAACAATGTTATAATTTACCCTATAATTACTATGAATAGAAAAATAAACAAATCACAAATATCTAATTTTTTAATTAAATATAGTAAAACCTCCGTTAAGCAGACATTCTTAGGACCGAAAAAATTGTCCGTTTACGGAAAGGGTACCCTAATAACAAAGTTTAACATCGTGAATTGTTTTTAACATATTTTGGAAGATGTGGAAATAATTAAATAATCTACAATAATTATCTACAAGGATATTTTTTTAAACTTTAAGAAAGATAAAAAGGAATGAGAGCATTTAAGATGTCATTTCAACTTGAGGGGGTCATAACCTGTGTGGTTCAGATAAAAAAATCCCACTGTCTGAATTATTTCACAACAGCATTCCGAATTTCTCTCTCCTTTCTTTACTAAGATAAGGCAAGGTGACAGGAGAAAGATTGATTCTTCAGTAGTGAAATAGTTTAACAATATTTTTAGTTATGGATAAGGCAAAAAAAATTTACATGCTTTAAAAACGGTGAAAAGTTGAGTTTTTTTCTTGCAATTTAAAGCAGAAAGTATTTTTTTTTTTCAAATTTAGAAAAAGTAGTGTCGTCCGGTTTGAAGAGATAGAAAATAATGTTTCAGGACCAAAATGACTGTCCGCATCCGGTTACGGGAGTGTCCACTTTGCGGAGTATGTACATAATGGTTTGTTCATAGAAGATTCCCGGGGAATTAAAAATTGGTTCATATTGAGAGGCGTCCCTTTTGCAGGAGTGTCCATAACAGAAGGTTTCACTGTATAAGATTTTTTTTTTAAATCTAAAAGCATTGAATAAATTCATTATATACATGAAGCCTGACAATATTATAATTTACCCAATAACTAATCACTAGGAATAAAAATAAATAAAAGCATTTAAAGGTTTTATCTTAGAAATACATATACCTGATTAGAGATAACAGAATAGTGACAAATACTAAATGAACCAGGATGATTAAACCTTGAAAATGCATCTGTTACAACATCTTTCATATTAATCGAAGGAAAAGATGATAAATCATATTTAATTTGTGAGTAACTGGAAGGGCAATTTAAAGAAGACAGCCATTCGGTCATTGGTTGAGGGCAGTAACACTGTTCATGATATAACATACCTAAAGAAAGAATGTAAAAAAGGTTGAAATATTCAAATGCTAAAAAACGAATCTAAATGTTTAACACTTTCATTTAATTATAAAGCATAATAGTTGTTCAAGGGAAAAAAAAAAATTATTTTTTCATCTTATTTAAATTTAATACTTTTTTTTATAAATAAAAAAGCAAGAATAGATAGGATTTTATTAAATACAGTTAATTTCATCACTTCCAAAGAAATATTTCACAATCTAGTTGATGTGAGTATAGTTTACTTTGTATGATTGTAATTTTCAACTTCAAAGACACAATAATTCCTTATATTAATATTGGAACAAACTCACCATAAGAAAGAACAATTATACATTTTCATTTCAAGTCAAGAAAAACAACAATAGTTTGAAATAGTTTTACACAAAATTTGATTCTAACCATAAGTACACTGGGAATATTTTATGACAACAATGTGGTAAGTTATGACATGGATTAGTAAATGTATCAACTTGCTAGGCTCAAACCTGGGCTGTTTATGCTAGGAACAAGTGCTATTTATACCTTGAGCCATTGTGCACCCTATTTTACATTTGTCTATGCTCTATTTTATTCTTCTTAATTTATTTATATAATAATAAGGCTCATTCAAAGTCTCGTAAATAAAAAAAAATCTCATTCCTGTTATGTCATAGATATTTATGACAATTTTTTCAAAATTTTTGGATAAAAACTATGATAAAAGGGCTATTTCGAAATTTGATTGAATTTATGAAAATTGAAATAACCGGATGAAAGTGTCAATTGTCAAAATCTTGCCAACCCTGACCGTCATAATGTATCACTCTTTATAGTGTTATAAATGCAGCCTTGTTTAAAATTTATATTAAATAAAATTGACTAATAGTTAATATTTCCAATGTGATTTAATGATTTTAAGATGATAAAAACCCACTACGTACATAACTTCATTTAAATAATTTTATAATGGAGTACAATACTTCACAATCATATTAACATATTTTCAACCAGTCAGCAATTTTCAAATTTATTATCCTTTTATCTGACACTGATAACAATATATCTTCATTACAATAATTATACATAAATAAAATAATGGTAATGATAGTAAAATACCTTCAACAATATAAGGTGAATCAGCTACCAATTGATTTTCATACACAATATCTATTTTAACGCTTTGGCATGTTTCATATAATCTGTAACGAGCTATGAAAAGTCCCTCTTTAACTTGTAGAAGTTGATACCAAATACGACATTTCTGTTCCAGTCCAGATACCTGGATACTTAAACTTTGTGGAAGAATTGAAAAGCTTTAAAGAAAATCAAATAAAAATGTTCATTAGTAAAATAATACAATTTAAAGGTAAACAGTAGCAAATGTAATGAAAATTAAATGTTCAATATTTTTTTTTTTTATTCATTTCATTTTTCAGCATCAAAAAAGGGAAAGAGGATAGTATTTATAGTATAGTACAGAACCCGTTACCCGGAAATCAGAAAACCGGAACAAAATTCAATAAATTTTCCCGCCATTTAAAAAAAAAAAAATTTTTTTTCCTCATAAGATTTTAGGATTTTTTTTCTTTTTTGAAAGATGTTTACCTTACCATCATTTTGGAAATAATCATTAGTGTATTACTTCATNAAAAAAAGTTTTTTTTCTTCATAAGATTTTAGGATTTTTTTTCTTTTTTGAAAGATGTTTACCTTACCATCATTTTGGAAATAATCATTAGTGTATTACTTCATCGTTTTTTCCTCTTTTTAAGATTTCCAAATATTTTTTTTTAGTTGGGTGTAACAATAAAAAAACGGCTTTTTGCAGCGATTCAGAAAACCGGAAAAATCAGTTATCCGAAATAGTGATGGTCCGGATAATCGGTTCCCTACTGTAGTAGCAAGCTAATAGTGCTTCTTTTGAAAGTTATTTAATTTTTTAACGAAAAATGAATAAATATCATAAAACAAATGTGATTAAGAAAAAATAAACATAATGATCTTTCTGAGATATAAAAAAAATTATCAATTTAAATAACAATAATAAAGCTTATGGAAAAACCTGCAATTTAATATTTAAAAAAATAAGTTGAAACCACATTTTGTTGTAAATTCTGCCATAAAATGCTCAGAAATAGAAGAATTTATTCATAAAAACACCTTTATGAATTGAAAAGTTTACTCTTTTTAATGGATAAACTGTAAGATTTGTCAAAATAATATTTGCAGTTGAATTAGAGAAAAATTAGAACTTTTAAGAATGTCCTCTAATATACTCTTCAAAACTCTTTAATGCAAAAAAATATGCAAAATGTTAAATAAATATAACTTTTGACATAGTTGTTGGAAAACTGCACTTGATTGTAACTTAAATAAGATCATTTAATGTGTTCTTTTGATAAGCTTTTTCATGCAAATAAATACTAAAGATAACATTCATTACTGTCCTTGTGAAACTGTACTTAAATAAGATAGTTTAATGCATTATTTTACCAAAAGTCTTTCAAGTATGTGAACCTGCAAAATATTAACCCCTTTCCTAAGGAATATATTTGAGAAAAACATTGCACAAACGGAAAGAAAAAAAGTTATCTTTAATTTCATTTATTATTATCATCAAAATGCTAGAAATAGATTATTTTTTAAAAAAGCGAAATATAACTGCGATATTCAAAATTTTCATATATATACATATGGGAAATGTTAACGTATTACAGCAATTTTTGCTCAAGTTATAGCAAAATATGTCAAATGACATAAATTTCAAGATAAATATAATAAACTAATGCAATATTATTTATTTATATCAACTGTTATGAATTTCATGCGCCATAGATTTCTTTAAATTTCTGTCAAATTCTAAAAATCCAACAAAACAGCCGAAATTTTTTGGGAAAATTTGAAACAAGTAACACCATCTATTGAAAAAAAATGGTGAATTACTTATTATGCATTGAATAAATTAAGTTCAGATTTCACAGAATTGAGGCACCAATTTTTATCTTGTCTGATCTTAGGTCAGACTTTTCTAAAATTGATGAATTTGCGTTACCGGAACTGAGTTTGGATATCACATGCAAGGTTTTAACAATAAAATGGGTTGTTGGAAAACTGCATATCCTAACTGCAGCCTCATTTAATCTCTTAATAACATTCTTTTACTAAGTTTTTTCATGCAAGTAAATGTTCAAAACAGTAACAATTAAAACATATGACATTGTTATTGGAAAACTAAACCTAATTACAACTTAAATTATGAGAAGATATTTTCAAATTCCCTAACCTTTCTCAGATTTTTCTTTGTAAGCTTAAAATTTTCTCTGAATCGCACAAACATGGATGGATATCCCAAAGAATGATATTAGAGGATAAAATTATCTTCTAACTTAAGGATGCTGATATTCAATAATTTCCTCTCTCAGCATACATACAAAATACACTTACAGCATGCTTACAGATTTAGTCGATAGAAATTTTTTAAAAATATATTTACATGATGTAAAATATATGATTACTCTCAAACTTGAAAAATAAAACTACTTATATTAACTTTCTAACATCTTTGTCAGTCTTTGACAGCTCAGCTAATATTAATGCTTATAACAATAACTAAATAATGCTAGCTTAAATAGTTTGAATACAACTCATGATCTGCGAATTTTAAATCGTGTGAATACGAATCTCAATGCATGATTTTTAAATCAGGTTAATACTAAACAAGAGTTATAATTTTTAAATTGTGGGAAGATGAATCACAACATATAATTTCTAAAATGCATAAATACTAAAAGCAATGTGGGAAAATTAAATTGCTTGAATAGCAATTGCAATGCGCAATTTTTAATTTGAGTGAATATATATCGTGATATAAGATTTTAAAGTCAGGTGTACCCAAATTGTGATGCATGATTTTTAAATTGCAAGAAGGTGAATCATGATGTATTATTTTTAAAACACGCCAATATAGATGCAGACACATTAATACAATTCCTTCTCATTAGGCAGCTTGAAAAAGTTTCATGTGACAGTGTTCGACGTCAACAACTTCAGAACCATAACTATCAAAGAGAAGAAAGAGAGGAGAAAGCTTGCATTCACAAACTTAAAAATTATAAAACATTATTTTTTTAAAAATTTTTTAAGCAGTTTTAATAAATTTTGTAAAAATAAGTCTTGGTGTCATTTGTCCTATTTTTAAAAACTTTAACAAATTTAAAAAATTCTTTTTTAACTTAAAAATTGACTGTTATATATGTACTATAATGTGTTAAGTCCATAACACATTAATTGATTTTTTAAACATTTGAAATTACTAAAAACATTAAAATTAGTCTAAATGACACAATGACTTATTTTCACAAAATTTCAAAAAATTAGAACTATTATTAGAACTACTTGAATTTTTTTTGACTGAGTTGTGTGCTTTTAAGAGTCTGCAAATACCACATTCTTAAATAAAATAATAGAACGTTAAAATTTTTATGATTTTTTTTAACATGCCAGAAATATAACACAGAAAAAAAAAGATTGAAATACAGATTTTAGAAATTTGGCCAATAATTCGAAATATAAATTAGTAATTACAAAATTGATGAACTTTCGAGAAGAAATAAAAATTTTTAATACTTAAGTAGTTTAAAAGCATAAATAAAACAATAAAACATTTAGATGCATTAAATAAACACTCGTTATAAAATCGTCAAAATGATTTTGATATAAGCATGATATTGCAATATTTTATTACCTATTATTTCTTTCAGTAACAAGCTGAATAAAAAAATATCGAACAGGCACAGTAAAATTTGCAATTAGACCTGGCCCATATACTTTACTGTTCTTCAAATCAATGTTATTTTCGCAATAAAAGCAAGAGATTAATGTCAATATAAAAATGCTAACCAGCAATATGCATTTTCTGTTCTTACAAAATATTCTGAATAACATAATGAAAAACGTAAAATGTGCAAATTATTTTGCTCAGATAAATCAGGTCATAATTCTTTCGAAGAACAAAAAAATAAAAGGTTCTTAATATTCACACGCAAGGAAAGCCGATAATGTTTAAAACAATTCATTTCTATAAATAAATAACAACCGGTTTATCCCTGAAAATAACCTTTGACATCCTCAAGATGCAAGATTTCAAACTACAAGAAAGAACAGACTGTCGTTTTAATTTGTTTATTTAGTTATTTTCATTGCTCAACGCTTCTGGCTGTCTATTTCTGTTCAGTTTAAAACCTAGATGAATAATACTTGGCACTTTTGATCTGATGTGTGGAGAGGGGCGCTGCAGACATAAGATGACCAAAAGTCTGAAATCGTCTAATTGCTCTCAGTTTCTTTTTAATTCCGATTTTATATCATGGGAGAATTTGGGTTTCTGCATTTATTTTAATGGGGAAAAAAAGTGGAATAAACAATAATTCAAACAATAATTTCATTTCAATATTGAATAAATCTTTAAATAAAGCTACACTTTAATTTTTTCGAAAAATATAACGTATAGCTATACTTTAAGATTATAAGGGAAGATGTCCCACAGTGGACTGATCTTAAAGGGCACGGTTCCCAGTAGAACACTGAAGTCAAGCATCACTGGCTGTGATCAGTAAGCGGGTGGGGGACTACTTTGATCAGCCTGCGTAGGTACCAAGGATGTGGGGTATCGGTCCTCGTTAAACTGTTATAAAAGTGATCAACTGTAAAGTGATCGACTTCGCGCGCAGTTTCCTTTTTAAAAAATTCGAATCTGTAATAAAAATTCGGGATTCCGATTCAATATTTTAAAATTGTCTCCAGGGGATTAGGTGAAAGATTGTTGTTGTGGTTGTTGTAGTTAATTTACGTCGCACTAGAGCTGTACAATGGGCTATTGACAACGGTCTGGGAAACATCCATGAGGATGATCCGAATCCACGCCATCACACCTTTGATCCTTTGCAGAGGGGATGACCCCCTCCGCTTCGGGGTGGAAGATTGAGTTTGAAATCATTGAATTGCTTTTCAAATATATTGAATATGCCTATTTTCGATCCAATGTTTATATGTTTTTTTTATGCATATATATTCTCATTTTCAGAATAATTAGCGCACCTAGAAAGAGTTGTCAGGAAGAAATTAGCTTCTACATTTTACATACGTAAGTACAACTTTAAGAAAGTGATGGAAAAAATCAAATCAAACTAATGATAAATTGCTGGAAAATATACAAAGTACCGTCTTGGGCCACCTGCAGTGAGAATACAGGATGCGATACGGTCCAGTATTGAGACATAAAAGACCCTTGACATATCCTGTGGCAGCTCGTTTCTCAGTTGCCGTAAAAACACCGCTAAATCAGCTAAACTTGGAGGCTGCACAACTTGCAGTTCCAGCCATGCTCTTTCGGTGACAAGTCTGGGGATCGAGCAGACTAGGAAAGGAATGTGGCGGAGCCATTCTTGTGGCGCCTTCGCTTCTGCCACAGGGTTCCTAGGTTCATATCATCGCAACAGTCATATATGTACAGAAGCACACCCATTATCAGAGATGGGCATTCCTCATTCAAAATAATGAATTAAGAATAATAAATAATTCCTTAAAATCTTTCTGCATAAGGAATAAAGAATTATTCATTAGTCAGAAATATTTTGAATAAAGAATAAATCATTCAATATTTTCAATCATTTCGTTACTCAAGAATAAGTGAATAATTTCACTGCTCAACAGAAATGGGCACAGAATAGTCTAATGGACTACGATTACATGCTTACCTGCATTGTTATTACTTAGTAAATCCGTACTTACGGTACATTGTATGTACAAGTAGAGGTACAATGTATAAATTATGCATACTTACTTACTTACTTACTTATCCTCTACGTGCCTTGGGCACTTAAGGCCTCCAGCATATCCCTCCAACGCCTCCTGTCTTTAGCAATAGATCTTGCTTCCTCCCAGCCAGATATTCCACATTCTTTTAATTCGCCCAAAAACATGCGCTGGATGGTAAGTCTGGGTCTTCAATTAGTTCTTTTACCATCAGGGGCCCATGTAAGCGCAACAGATGAAATTTTTNTTTAATCTTGCCAAAACCTGTCCATCTAAGTTCTGATATTCCCAAGATATCCAATTGGTATCTATCCATTTCCATTGATACCTGTCTACTTTTTCCACATTGGTACATAGTTCTTACATTCCAAGCACCAATTCGTAACTTGTGTTTAGGTTTCATCAATGACTTCTTCCGCATCGAAGGCTCCAAATGGCTTTCCCTTCGACACTTCATAGGCGTGATTTCCTCATTCCAGGTTAGATAACTGTCATTTGGAATTTCACAAGTCATTGCTTCCGCCAAGAGAATTTGGCCCGATATGAAATTATGCATACATATATGCATAATTTATATGCATGCAAACCTACATTAAAGTAGTACACACAATGTGTATTAGTACGCATATATGTACATGTACATACAATGTATGCAAGTATGCAAGCAAACGTTTGTGTACAGATGCACATCCAACGTACGTATGTTCATAATATACGTATACACATAAAATATATATGTGTGTATGTTAAAAATATACGTAAGTAGGTGCATATACATACGCACGAAAGCATACGTATATGTGTACATGCAAAGCACGGACAAAGGTACGTATACAATAAGTATGATCACACAATGTACTTACTTATGGACTATTTAATGGCAATGAACATACTTTAGTTAGCTCATACAACGTAGCTCCATATATATGTACAGTCGTACATAAAAGAGTTGGGCGTCGATTATGGTAATCGATAACAGGCAATTACATCTATGTAATCAATTACTTGTAATCGTGATTACTATTTTCAATCATGTATGCACAAAGCATGTGTGTACAATTATACATATACTGGGTATATTGTGCATATGTAAATACACACATTCCATAGGTTGACACCGTACATATGAGCTTGCATGCATTCGATATGCATTTATTGTAATTATGTGTATGCATATATTGGCCATACATGTTTTGTACATATGTGTGTATAGGTTTTTCCAATTTATGTATATATGTAGAATATAAGTAAATATATACAATTTAATACAATTTACAATATAATATATACAATTTATGTAAGTTATTTAAATTTCAAAACTTTAATTAAACGACCACTAATAACGACTGAAGCAATTTAAATGATGAAATCAAACGACATTTAAAGTCGGTTATCTGTTTTAATTGTTCGATATCATTTTAAAATATTTGAATAATCCTTTTCCAGTACTTATATGAAATTTTTGAGGCTCTAAATTTTCTCATATATAGCATAATGCATAGCTCAGAGAATTGTACTTCGTTACTTTTAAAATTTTGTACTTTTACTTGTTTTTTCTCCACTTTTTTTGCGAAAAAGTACAAGTATTTGTAACGATAATGTTGGAAGATATCGTTACTTTTTTCTGAAATTTTTAAAAAATTTTCCTCAAAAAATTATGAAAGAAAGGGAAATTGATATTAATTTTGTTTCGATTTTCTGCTTTTTATGAAGAAAAAAAATACATAAATGATTTGCAATGAAATTTTACTTTATTCTTCATTTCTTTCCACATCGTTTACCCTTCCCTATGGAAAACAATCTTTTTTTCCTTTTCTTACATCTGACCACAATGGGGATTCGAAGAGGCCGAAGGTCACAGCATAACTGCCTGTAAGTTCCTGGAAACAAACAAAATAATCTAGAAACTAACCTGCTTGATCAATTTTATTTCTATCGGGATCACTCTATTCGAGTATTTACTTCAAGTGTGCAGTTTTTAAAAAAGATGTGACTTAAAATTTTTTAGTATATTTTTGAAGTAAAAAAAATTTTTTTTTTTACTAAGTGAATAACAAAATTATTAAGAAAACAAAATAAAATCTGGTCCATTAAGGAATATGGAGCCATAATAACAAGTCAAATTAGGGAACCCCGGAACTTCTTACGATGCTGACTTCATTTGAGATTTGGGACGGATTGCCCATAAAGTAGTAAAAAATCTAAATGTTGGAGTGAATCGATATTCGTTCTCAAAAAAAAAAAGAAAGAAAGAAAACATGTATACATCTATATCGATACGAATTCCGCACCCGACTCGCACCGACCACAGTGCTGAAATAAAATATCCTCAGTGATAGACGGATCATGGGTGGTTAGGGCCCCCTTACCGTCAGGCTAACCGTGGGAGGTTTTCGTGGTTTTTCACCCCATGTAAAGCAAATTCAGGTTAGTTCCATCGAAAAGTACTCCACGAAGGCAAATTTCTCCCTATACTTGATCAAGGAATTCCCTTGCTCAAATAAATAGTTCTGGATTGGGTTCAAAATTACAAGGCTGTGAAGTTGAACATTAGTAGTAGTAAACCCGAAATTAGGTCGGCTGCTCAGCGACGGTTATAAAATAAAATATTTATAGAAATGAAAAGAAAAAAAATTCACCTCGCATTGAAAATTTGTACAACTATATGAAGTAAGCATTCGCAAATTAAAATTTTTTATTTTTGTATTTTTTTATTTATGGGAAGGAAATTTTTTAAGGAAATGAAATTTTTTTTGACCAATTCTTTTTCATACGATTTTCCTAAAGATTTAATATTTAAAAGCCTGTACAATGCAACCATAATAAACAGTTTTTTCTATGACTGTTAATTTATTTTATAAGTTAGAAGGGCTTTTTCTATGAATATGCCATAATTTTGTTGAAAATAAAAAATTGAGAATAAATCATGCAAGCAGCGGATCACGGTAATGATACGCAGAACATTCCGTAATTTCCATCTTTAATACATATTTTTAGAATCTTAGACAAAAATTAAGGTTTATTACGGTTTGTAATATTTGGGCAAGGAGGAAACAAAAATGCTGTCAAAATTTTTTAAAATCACTATTGTGGAAGGCAGAATAAAAATCATCAAAACCAGTTTACCTGGTAAAGCTTGGAAGTATTTCTAAGAATTGCATATCAACTCCTCTCTCTTTCTTTTGAAATCAATTAACTTTTGATGTTTTCAATCCTGATTCCCTCAGTAATGATTCGTTAAATTTTGATAGCGTTTTTCAATTTTCCTCGCTTTAATATTTTTGAGACTTTTAATGAGCGTAACTTTTGACCTTAATTTTTGACTTTCTAAAAATTACAATGTTTTATGATAGTAAAAATATATTTGAAAAGATTGTC